ACACCGAGAAGGCAGATTGGAAAAAAGTCACTGTGGAAGCTAGTGCATGTATACAACTGCACACGTAGTAAGGCTACTGGATTCTCGCCCTACCATCTGTAATTTGGACGATCACCATGACTCCCCATTGATCTGATGTTTAATGTCCAGCCTAATGACAAACAGCAAAGCTACACAGATTATGTGTCAGATTGGCAAGCACAGATGCAAGAGGCCTACAACATCGCGTCAAGCACTGCCAAGAAAGAGGCGCTGAGGGGAAAAAAATACTATGACAGGAAGATCCATGGTATTGACTTTCAACCTGGCAGCAGGGTTTTGCTTAGGAACCTGAGTGAAAGAGGTGGGCCAGGTAAACTCCGGTCATACTGGAAGGACACAGTCTATACAGTGGTGAGTAGGAAGAACCCCAACAGCCCTGTATACGAGATACAGTAAAGCCAGAGAAAGGAGGTAAGAGCCAGGTGGTGCACAGGAATCTCATACTGCCTTGTGACAGTTTACCACTGGAGGAACCAGAAGCGGCAGGAAGGAAGAGAAAGCTGAGGCCTAGAAGAGAAACACAATGGTTATCTGCTCACCAAATGGAGAGTGGAGATGAGGATGGCTATAAATTAATCTATAGATTCTCACCCTCTTCTGAATGTGGGAAAAGTCTCTCCACTCTAGACCCTGATGCAAATCCATTTGAGTCATGTCTCTGTTCCACTTCAGTTGACTGAACTTGTTTGCTTGCAATTCACTTCCACTATTCTTGGTACCTTCTCTGGGTGAAATTCTTGGGGTGGCGTAGTCAGCTATTCATTGGGCTCAGGTTCTTGTAGACTGCTCCGCCACACAATCAAATATTTACATACTGCAAATTCTCTGCATTAGATCTGTCTTTATTTTTATAATGACTCAATGGTCATCATTTAGGTAGCTGGTACTCTGAATTAGCTGTCTTTATTTTTATATTGACTCTGTTGGTATCATTTAGGTGCCGGTTACTCTGAATTAGCTCTGTCTTTATTTTTATACTAACTTCTTGGCAGAGGTGGGGACTTGCAATTCAACTCAGACTCAAGTCACAAATTTGATTGAAATATTTGGATTTGACTTAGACTTGAGGCCAAGTGACTCAAGATTTATACCTGACTTGGACCCTATGACTCGAGAAGACTTGAGGTTATTGTCCCCCTCTGGATACAATAATGTTAATTTTATAATTTCAGTGTATATTGATATTCTGTCATCTACATTTTCATTTGGCTGAATGTAAAGGCTCCTGAGATAGTTTGTTAGAAATATGCACCGCTCTCTCCATATACACGGACATAAAAACTGTGTAAGGACAACCATGAGTGCACACTCTCTTTTCAACCTGTCTGCCTATGAAGAACCATATCCTATCATGTACTGTGGTGTGTTTTTGCTGCAACACGTTGTAATCACTAAGATAAAAAAAACTGATATAAGAAGGGACTCAAGTTGCATGACTCACAACTTGACTTGGAATCAAGCCACAAATTTAATGACTTATAACTTGACAGCAAAAATGATGGAAAGATTTGGATTGGACTTGGACCTGAAGGCAAATGACTTGAGACTTGACTTGGACTGCAAAGTTTTGACTCAAGACTTGACTTGAACTCACCAAGGAATGACTTCTTCCTATCCCTGCTTCATGGGCATCATTTAGGTACCTGGAACTGTGAATTAGCTCTTCTTTATTTATATATTGACTTCCGGGCATCATATAGATTCACACCTTCTCTATGTCTTGGAGATGTTCTGATAGCTACACTGCAGTCCTGTGCACAGCTGGATTTAGAAGCGAGTAGGGGTGGGCAATGTCCACCCAAATTTCTGGTCAGCCCATCCAGTTGTCCAACTTTAGCCTGTGCCATCTGAATCTGCTAATCATGTTTATTTCATGAGATATTCTTTTGTCATGTCAGCACAGGATCCAACAAGGTGCCATTAATTTGGCAACGGGAACAGCACAGACATGCAGAACAGGCACAAAGACATCAACCACGACAACAGCTGACACACCGCGGGAAACGTAGACGCACACAAGGGCACAAATGACGGAAACACAGAACCAGGGGAAAACAGGAGGCAGAGGGGAAACACGACCAGGGGGCAGACCACCAGGAGGGACACTGACAAAAGGAGGAGCAAAGGGACCAGGAGGAAACAAGGGGGAACCAAACGAATGGGGAGGGAACATGGGGAAACCACCCCCAGGGGGAACCACACCAGGGGGCAAGGAGGCAAAGGGCGGGAGGCACCAGGGATCCAGAGTTAACCCCAGCGGGCACACAGGCGACTGCAAGGCTGGACCTGGAGGGACCCTCGGTGACCACGAGGCAGGAACCGGAGGGGACACTGAAGGGGGCGAGGAGGAAGGTAGAGGGACTGCCAGAGGAAGCGAGGAGGGACTCGAAGGGGACACCGGAGCAAGTGAGGAGGGAGCAGAAGCTGCTGCAGGTGAAGGTGCAGCCACAGCCGCTGAACCCGCAGGCGACCAACGATGCGGAGCTGGGGGAATTGCAGGTGAACGACGAGGTGTCAGAGGCGGGACCGCAAGCAACCGATGAGTCATCACATGGGGAACCGCAGGCGACCGTCGAGCAGGAGCCAGGGGGAAACAAATGCGTCTGCCAGACTGAAGCACGGGGATAGAAGGTGAACTGGGGGATAGGGACACCAGTTCAGGTGTCTTCTCCCTCTGCGTGACACCGAGACACGGGGTCCTGGCCAGGATCTATTGTGACGGGGTGGTGGTCAGGGTGACCCACTGCATGGGCTCCTCAGGGCAGTCTTCAGGGAAATCACCGAGGGGTCCCACTCGAGCTCCTCCTCCATCTCCACCAAGGGGGGAGGAGCAGTGGTTCAGATGGTCCAGAACCTCCTCAGGGACAGGTATTGGGGGGTCAGGAATCATGGGGGCAAGTGTGGCAGGGGGTTGTGCCATGGGTGCGGGCACGGCTGGGGGTTGCGCCATGGGTGCATGCTCAGGAACATGCGTGGTGTCTCCTGCCGAGGAAGCTTGCACAGTCCTCAAATGGAGCAGCTTCCTCATGTTCTCAGGATCCCCCATCAGCTACCAAAATAGACCCTGAAGGGCAAAGAACTGCCTGGCCAGGGTATCAGGCACAGGCGAAGCAGCAGATCCTGAAAGGGCCTCTGACAAACCCTCCTGTTTGCGCTCTTCCCACTTCTTTTTGCAAGCAGGGTTAGCAGGAGTAGAGGACAGTTCAGGCAGAACTACAGGCGAGGCATGAGGCAGCCTATAGTCCAAATGCACCTGCCGTATCATGACTTCTGCCACTCCACCCCTTAAGTGCCACAAGTTAGCTCACACCTCTTCCGCAAGGTGGGAGTGGTTGGGTGGGGAGATCTGCTCCAAGATCTCTCTCAACCAAGTAGCAAGAGCTTGAGCCATGGGGTCCCTTTTGAGCTCAGGCTGTGTTAGCCAACAGATTATCTCATCGACCACTTTAATGTATAAAGTGTCTCTTTGCGAGTCTGGTCATTTTGTTGTGCTTTCGAAGCAGGGAAGCAGTACAGGATCCAATGAGATTGGGTGAACATGGGGTTTATTTGAAAGTAGACAAATCAGGAACACGGCACACAAAAAGGACGGACGTCAATGACCGGACGGGGGAAACATATTCCCAAAGCTTTTGATATAGCTAATATTTGTAATTCCCCGATCATGCCGATCCTCTTGTGTGCCACGCTCCCTCATCTACCCCGTGTGGAATCCCCATGTTACCAGCTGTTTTGAGTAATGTTGATCACTGTTGTGTACTTAAGTCCACGCTAGAGTGTGTTTCTCCAGTCCGGTCATTGACGTCGCTGTGTGTTCCTGAGTGTGTGATCCCGACTCCACTGCTTCCCTGCTCCGTGCCTGCTCCAAACAGAATGACCAGAACAAAGAGTCTGGTGGACAAGGTGATCTATTGGCTCCGGTTTGCAAGAACTTAAGTTGGGCCGCGGGGGAGATGATCCGGCAGGTGAGCATAGAGCTTCTGCATGGTAAGGGAGCTAAAGCCCGCACAATGCCAGCTCGCGGGAAGGAGTGGAGAGACCAAAGAGGAGCTCCTCCCAATCATCAAGATGGCAAAGTTGGCTTTGTTTGCACCTAAAGCCTGCGCAGCAGCCGCTTCCCCCAAGAGTGCGCCCGAGGTTCATGTCCCCGCTGCTTCGCCTGCACCCATGACCCTGGTTGGGAAGTTCTTGGTCCTTAAGGGTCTGTACTGGCAGGTGATGGAGGATCTGGCAGTGCAGGACTCTCCTGAGGCTACCCGCTCCTTAAACAGCTTCAGGGGGAATTCGCCAATTTTACTCCAGCTTCCCCACCTCAGGAGCTGGAGAAAGTGGAGGAAATGATTAGGAAGCTGCTCCACTTGAGCAGTCACCCTTCTTTTTCCAGAAAGGAACTACAAGTCCCGCTTTCCACTCAGTTGGGATGTCACCTGACTTCCACGTGGAAGCAAAGATTGCTCGCAATGCCTGGAAGACAGTCTTACCACCAGCCTGGAGGAGTTAACCCCGGATATCACAGATATTCCCTTCCGTCCCCGCAGCTGATTCACCACCTATGTAATCTCAGTGAGATTGAGTGGTTCACTGCTGATTGGAAGCTCAGCCTCAAGAACCGTGGACCCAGAAATGTCCAGTGTCCTAGCTGGGGGATCAGCTTATCCGCCCTCAGAGCCCTCACAGCCATCCTTCTCAGTTCTCAGTACAGACTGAAGCAGGGCTAGACATAAGGATTTAGGAGGGCACAGCCACTTTGGCCTTGGCTATTCATATTTTTTCTAGGGCACAAGGCCATTAAGCCTGGGCACAAGGCCAAAATCTGGAGTAAAAATGTTTTTTTCAATTATTTAAATTTCATAGGACACCTCGGGCCTTGTGGAGGAATTTTATTTCCATAAAGGATGCATTTTTTTTATTTTCAAAAAAGCAGAAACTTTCCAAAAAGGCATTGGGCCAATACTGAGTCACTAATTACCAATTACTGTAATTACCAAGTTTAGACAACCTACGCAATACGACCTTCGATTTGAGACAATATATATATATATATATATATATATATATATATATATATATATATATATAGCTTTATTTCAAAAAACAAAATCCAACAATAAA